AGTGTGGTGCTTGAAGTGACAGACAAGTGGGGCAAAGGCAGAGCTTTGGAACAGGAACTGAGAGACAAAAAGAAATATTATATACACACACAATCCCTACTCAAAGATACCTCAGAACCATTTAGGAAAGTACTCTGCCTCCTGTAGCTGGTTGTTATTGAATTTACCAGTTAAAGGAAAGAAGGCTGGAGGATTTGGGGTCATGTGAGTTCCAAGTGAGAGTGGGATGGGCTCTTTGGAGAAAGAGCTGATTACTGGGTTGGGACAGGAATAGCACAAGAGGAGCCCGGAGTGTCTTGTGGTTCCAGGAAGGAAGAAGGAGCTCAGAAAACAAGAGGGTTGGACATATCAAAAGGAAACCAGAGTAAGGGCAGCCTGGGTGGATTAGCGGTTCAGCACTACCTTCAGCCCAGGGCATGATCCTTAGAGCGTGATCCTGGAGACCTGGGATGGAGTCCCATGTCGGGCTCCCGGCATGGAGCTTGCTTCCCCCTCTCCCTCTGTCTGTGTCTCTGCCTCTGTGTGTGTGTATGTGTATGCCTCTCATGAATAAATAAATAAAATCTTTTTTAAAATTCGAAGGAGGAAAAAAAATAAAAAATAAAATAAAATAAAATAAAATAAAATAAAATTCGAAGGAGGGAAACCAGAGTAAAATGGAAAGTGCTCCCAATAACCCAAGATGGAAGAATTTGAAAAACAAAGTAAATATTGTAGGACTACATTATACCCCAAGGTATAAAGCAGATGTATGTGAGTCTGTGCTGATATAAACATGAAACTAAGTCAGTAAGTAAGTGGGTCCTTCTTGTAGAAAAATCCTAAATAATATGTTTAGCCTTCCCCTAGGAGGTGGAGTGTAGTCCCTTCCACCATGAATGTGGCCTGAACTTAGTGACTTGTTTCTAAAATGTACAGCATGGAGGGGGAGAAGGCCGCATTACACTGAACCTGGCTTAGGTGATTAAGGTTAAGATCCCTAGTGACAGGTCAGGTTGGTAATATGTGTCCCCTAATGAGACATAATAAGGACAGCATTTCTCACTCTATCTAAACACCTGTGTAACCATGACCAACAAAATTAGAAAAACCTAAATTAAAAGACCTTTTACAAAATACCTGAGCAGTACTCCTCAAAGCTATTAAGGAATGACTGAGACACTGTCACAGATCCAAGGAGACTAAGAAGACAGGAAACTATACATAGAATTGGATCCTGGATGGGATCCTGTAAGAGCAAAATGACATTAGGTGAAAAATAATAATCTGAATGAATTCCTGAAGTTTCTAATGTTAGTTTTTTAGTGTTAACTAGTGTTAATCTAAAATTTTTTTCAAGTTTAAAGATATATTTGAAGTAATTATTAAAAAATGATTCCAGGAGAGAAATTATTTTCACAGACCTCAGAGCAGATATTTGTGTTGTATTACACAGACCCCACCAATGTCAGCATGACCCTCTTAGGACATTCAAGCACATTTTTGAAATTTTGAGAAACTGAATACTTTTATTTATTTTTCCTTTTTTTATAACTATTGTAAATATTTATGCACCCAGGTACATAATACAGTTAATAATAAAGATGAACTAGTTGATAGTAATACAATAATAGAGAATTTTTAACACTCCACTTATGTCTCTTTTTTTTGGTATTTTTTATTGGAGTTCGATTTGCCAACATATAGCATATCACCCAGTGCTCATCCCATCAAGTGCCCCCCTCAGTGCCCGTCACCCAGTCACCCCATCCCCCCGCTCATCTCTCCTTCCACTACCTCTTGTTTGTTTCCCAGAGTTAGGAGTCTCTCATGTTCTGCCACCCTCTCTGATATTTCCCACTCATTTTCTCTCCTTTCCCCTTTAATCCCTTTCACTATTTTTTTATATTCCCTGTACGAGTGAAACCATATAATGATTATCCTTCTCTGATTGACTTACTTCACTCAGCATAGTGAAAAGCCAAGACACCTGCACTCCAATGTTTCTAGCAGCAATGTCCACAATAGCCAAACTGTGGAAGGAGCCTCGGTGTCCATCTAAAGATGAATGGATAAAGAAGATGTGGTCTATGTATACAATGGAATATTAGCCATTAGAAACGATGAATACCCACCATTTGCTTTAATGTGGATGGAACTGGAGGGTATTATGGTGAGTGAAGTAAGTCAATCAGAAAAGGACAATCATTATATGGTTTCACTCGTATGGAGAATGCTTTTAAAATCATAGAGATAGGGGTACCTGGGTGGCTCACTGGGTTAAGCATCTGACTCTTGGTTTCAGCTCTGGTCATGATCTTGGGTGGTGAGATTGAGCTCAGTGTAGGGCTCTGCCCTCAGTGAAGAATCCACTTGGAATTATCTATCTCTCCCTCTCTCCTTCTCCCTGTGCATAAATCAATCAATAAATCAATAAATCAATAAATCAATAAATCAATAAATTAAATCTTTTTTAAAATCAAAATCAAAATAAATAAAACAAAGTAAAATCATAGAGATAGGTTAAGAACACAGGTAAAAATTTCCTTTGGGTAGCTTCATCATAAAATTGAGCTCATTTGAAAGTCAAATAAAATATGCAATGTTTGTATATTATATTAAAATATTGAAGTAGGGGGCAGCCCGGGTGGCTCAGCGGTTTAGCACCGCCTTTGGTCCAGGGCATGATCCTAGAGACCCGGGATTGAGTCCCATGTTGGGCTCCCTGTGTGGAGCCTGCTTCTCCCTCTGCCTGTGTCTCTGCCTCTCTCTCTCTCTCTCTTTCTCTCTCTCTCTTTCTCTCTCATAAATAAATAAAATCTTTAAAAAATATTGAAGTAGGTTATGTTTATTGTTGTAAAGTATTGTCATGCTTACATTTTCTGTGAATGTTTAGAGCTATTGGAGTTGATTCAGTAATCATTATTTATAAAGGACTTTTGCAAATTGAATCAAGAAACTTTTTGCAGTCTCATATTTTATGTTTTTATGACTTACTAAATAAGATGTATTTCATGTGTTATTTTTCATTTAACGAGAAATTCCTAAAAGAAAAGAATTAAGATGGTTTAATATGATTTATGTGATAGTTTGGTTTTCAAAAGTTATTTGTATGAAAGAGGGAAATGCAAATAGTGAGTGAGAGAATATAGAAAGAAATCAGACACATCTCCCAAAATGTCCTCAAATTCTTTTAAAAGAATTACATAATGGGTAACCAACTATAATTATCAGTGGAACAAATAAATTGACTTCTGGACTCAAAGCTTAATTAATTAATTTATTCATTAATTTAACAAATGTTTATTGAAAAATTAGTATGAACCAGGCTATAATTCATGTTTGGGGATAGAGTTGTTAATAAAGAAGACAAACTTACTGTTCTCCTGTAGTGTATGTGCTATGTAGGTAGGTAAATGAATAAACAAGCTAACAAATAAATAGAAATAGTTAAATACTGATCAAAACTATGAAGAAAAAAGCAAGTTGGGAACAGTGTCCATAGAGGGTGGGAAGACTGTGATACAGTAACATTTAAGCAAAGATCTGAGGGAAATGAGAGACATTTCTGAGCATTGGCAGCAGCAAGTACAAAGACCTGAGGCAGGAGTGAGCTTGGATTGTCTCTGAAAAGCAGGGAACTCAGTGTGAGTGATGTGGAGGGCGGGAGTAAGAAAGCAGCCAGACATGATGTAGCTCATTTGAAACCAAACTGTCCCTGAATGAGAAGCATTAGCCATCCCTATGCACTTATTTTTTCAAAAAATATTATCATTACTCAGTGCTCTTATTTTTTTACAAAATATAAGAAAGGATCATTATAAACAGAAAGCTTGGAAAACTTCCTTATTATACAGGTCTACTTTTCTGTTTCAGGCCTTCTTGCTTTTGAAAATTGCCATGTGACAAATCTAACAAACACTTACTAAAGACAGAATATTAATTCCTTTAAAATATTGTATGTTGTAGCTCAGAATAAAATGTGCTAACAAAAGGCATATATCTTTATTTAAAAACTTCTGTAATGGGGATCCCTGGGTGGCTCAGCAGTTTAGAGCCTGCCTTTGGCCCATAGCGGGATCCTGGAGTACCGGGATTGAGTCCCGCTTCGGGCTCCTGGCATGGAGCCTGCTGCTCCCTCTGCTTGTGTCTCTGCCTCTTTCTCTCTCTCTCTTTAATCCATGAATAAATAAATAAAATCTTAAAAAAAAACTTCTGTGATATGTTGGGGCACCTGGATGGCTAAGTTGGTTAAGTGTCTGACTCAGGTCATGATCTCAGGATCATGAAATTGAGCCCCGAGCTGGGTGTGGAGTCTGCTTAAGATTCTTTCACTCTCCCCTTCTGCCTCTCTCTCTCAAAAAAATTATATCATGTATTACTTCATTTTGGACTTTTTTCCACCATTTTAAAACAATTTTTTCTTATTCAAGTATAATTAACATTAGTTATATTTGTTCCAAGTGCAAAATATATTGGTTTAACAATTTTATACATTTCTCTGTGCTCATCAAGGTAATGTATTATTAGTCCTCATTTTGGACACTGAAAAATTTTTAACTATGGAAATAAATAATTTCAGATATAAATCAATGTTCTAATATTTAAAATGGTTATTTTAACTTTTTTATTAAAAATTAGCCATACTACATTCAACTCCTTTAACAAACTCCCCACTGCTGTGTATATGTGCACATATAAGATTCTTGCATATGTTTCTATTCACAGGTTTGTGTATGTCATGCTTTACATGGAGACTTGCATTGCCATATGGTAGAAAAATAATTAATATATAATTAATAAAGTTTACTACAAGCGGAGCCCCCAAATTCTTAAGGTTCTCCTTTCCCATCCTCCTTCAGATATCACATATTTGGACATATATTTTCCCTTCAAGATGATAGATTTTTGAACAAGAAATGGTATCACCTCAGTAATTTAGGTGCAGTGCATCATCAAAATGGTCATTGCATGTTGGATATCTGAGAACAATGACACAGGCCATCATGAATCCTATAATGTTAAGAGGTAAAGCCTGCAGACAATTTCGCCTTCTCAACCACCTTCTTGAATGCATTTTTAACCTCCTTGTTTCTCAAGCTATAGACCAGGGGATTCAGCATGGGAATGACCATAGAATAGAACACAGATACGATTTTGTCTGTGTCCATGGAATGGCTGGAGTTGGGCTGTAAGTACATGAAGATGACTGTCCCATAAAAGATGGACACTGCAGTGAGGTGAGAAGCACAGGTGGATAGAGCCTTCTGATATCCGTCAGCTGAGTGCATCTTCAGGTGGTGATAAATATGAACAGATAGGAAATCAAGATAATGAGGAGAGCAAAAAAGATGTTGAAGCTTGCTACAACAACAAGAACCAGCTCACTGACATATCTATCAGAGCAAGAGAGAGCCATGACTACTGGCACATCACAGAAAAAGTGATGGACTAGATTGGACATGCAGAAAGAGAGACTGAATGTGTCATGAATGTGAATGGAGGCATTCAGAAAACCACAGAGGTAGGAGCCTATGGCCAAATGAGCGCATACACTTGTTGTCATGGTGGTGGTGTAATGGAGGGGTTTGCACACTGCTGTGTAGCGGTCATAAGCCATTGAGGCCAATAGGAAATTTTCCACAGTGGCTAAGCCTACAAAAAAGAACATTTGAGCAGCACATGCATTGTAGGAGATGACCTGATCTCTTATAAGTAATCCAGCCATGACTTTGGGAGTGACAGCTGTAGAGTAACCAAAGTCAACCAGAGACAGGTTACTGAGGAAAAAGTACATGGGAGTGTGGAGACGGGAGTCCAAGAGAATCAGCACCACCATGCCCAGGTTCCCAGCCAGAGTGATGAGGTAAATGAGGGTGAACAAGATAAAGAGGGGGATCTGGAGCTCCGGGGCATTGGTTATTCCCAGCAGGATGAATTCAGTCACTTCTGTGTTGTTCTCCATCGATGCTGTTGGGAATCACAGGATGCCCTGTAGGGATGAGAAATAAACAGAAGAAAAAACAAACAAGCAATTGAAGTGAAATTGAAAGAGCTATATAAAAAGATGATAGATAGATAGATAGATAGATAGATAGATAGATAGATAGATGTGCATGATTTCCTTATACCAATCATTCTACTTCAAATCATTCAGAACTCAAGTGTGAGCTTGGCACAAAATTTAATCCATGAATTATCTATACAGTTTTACATTGCTGACACAAAGATCTCTGTGGATCATCTCCCATCTTCTAAATTTTATAAATTTTTAAGCTGAGGCACAGCAAAAGGAATGTCTTGACCAAGAAGGCAGGTCTGGAATCAAATATATCTCACATTTCAGTTCCATGATTCATTAAATGTTTACACTTGTATGTTGCTCTAGGCAGAAACTACTCTAGACACTGTGTGTATATACATTCATTTTTTCAACAACCCTATGATAGACTGGTTATTGCTCCCATTTAACTTATGAAGCATGGAAATTACGTCATGTATTTATGTTTTACAACATTATACTTCCAATGCCAAGTTTTATACCCAAGAGTGTTTCTTCAGTACACCTAATATTTTAAAAATTGAATTTGGCGCATTTCACAATTACTCAGTGTCTCCATTGTCCCAAACTCAGTGTTTGGGGCTTTATACTTAAGTAACTGAGGCATATAATCAGAGTTGATGTTGGGGAGTAACTGGAGCAGTAGGGGCATATACAACCAGCAGAGGCAATTCAGAGAGCAAGGCACAGTGTCTGGTGTAGAGCTTGGGCCCTAGCAAGAGGTGCACATCAGCTTTATCGCTGACTATGCAAGGATCATTGTTCCAGCCTCAGTACCCAGTTTTTTTCCATATACAGAATGAAGAAGATTGTCATGAGATCTACCTCAAGTATTGTTGGGAGAAATAAAGAGATAATGCATAATAAACAAAGAGCAAGATGCTGGGTGTTTGGCATGGCCTGATACAGGTTAGCTGTAGCATTATTTTTAGGGTGGAATGATAGTCCTTATGTTTGTTTAAGAAAAGTGGGTGATGACATACAGAGATTCAGGGGGTTGAGTTATGTATGAAGTCTTGTAGCCTCTCTTTTATTTCCTTGTTCTCACACACTTGGTCCACTGATTATTTGGTCCCCTCCACTGGTCCTCAGTCTGTCTGTCCTCTGCCAGCTTGAGTGACTGTTCTAGCCATTGCAAAGGAGCCATTCTTTTACTTAATTTCTTTCTTAAAATCCATATTTTAGTATGATTCAAAGAATGTCCTTCTGCAACTCATTCTTCCTCTCATTACTCTCATCTCACAGTTGAATCACCAGGATCAAGGGTTGAAAAGTCCTGGTTTGTTGCTGCCTGCAAGTCTGTTTTGGTAGTGAGTTCCATATTTAACATTTTTTTATGTGATATGTTCTTGTGTAGGAAAAGTGTCTTAAATCTTTCTAATTTGAATCTGAAGCCTTTAGAAAAACATTTACCTTTGCTAATCATTCTCTACCAATGTCCTTCTGCTTCTTCCATCTTCCCTCTATAAGTTCAGTCCCTAATATATATATATATATATTTCCTTTAGGCATATCTGTACATATATATTTATGCATGTGAAAACTCGTATTTCATTTCAATTCATGGTAATATTGTGACATAAGTAGAATTATTATCCCACGTTACCATTAAGAGAACTGAGCATTTGAGGAGTTATATATAAAGCTCTACAAATTACACAGCTCAGATGAGGAAGATTCAAAATTCAAATCCAGCTGTGACCAAATCAGCCTTATCATCATCATTTGTAGATGTGCTAGTAATAATAAGAAGAATGACATTCTGTGGGAAAGATTACATGGAGTTTGGATCTGGTTAACTTAATAATAACACTTTTGTGGTTTATAGAAAGGTCATTTCACTGTCTTCTGTGTTTTTCAATCTCCAGTGAGAGGACAGAGATTGCAAATAAGTTGAATTTAAAACTTAGTGAATAAGAGCATCACTCATCTCTTTTGTTTGGCTGATCTTTTTAAGTCTTTAAAAAGCAGCATGATGATATTCCATAAGTATTACTAAACTCCCTACTGATGGAAGTTTTGATATTTAAATCCCAGCCTCAGCTCATTGCTTTAGAAATAATGTTCAACTCATCCATCTCTGTGCTCAAATAATTCATAGTAGGTGGAGCTGCCCCATGGATTTTGCATGAATTATACTTCTCACTAAAAGTATATTTGCAAAGACATGGATGGAACTAGAGGATATTATGCTAAGCAAAATAAGCCAGTCAGAGAAAGACAAGTGCCATATGATTTCACTCATATGGAATTTAAGAAACAAAACAGATGAACATAGGGGAAGGGAAGGAAAAATAAAATAAGATAAAAATAGAGACCAAAAAAAGGGAGACACACCATAAGAGACTCTTAACTGTAGGGAACAAACAGGGTCACTGAATGGGAGGAGGCGGGGGGATGGGGTCCTTGGGTGATGGACATTAAGGAGGGCAATTGATGTAATGAGCACTGGGTGTTATATGTAATTGATGAATCACTAAATTTTACTCCTGTAACTAATAATACACTATACTTTAACTAAATTGAATTTAAATAAAGAATATATATATATATTCATTCATATATATATATATGAAACTTACCTTGCTGCTGGAAAGAAGGTACAGGTAATCCTGAAGAGTGAGTCTGAAATCAGACTTTTCACCATGGAATAATGCATATATACTGTTAGAGTTGTTCTCTATCAGGTACTAGTCAAAATATTCCAAGACCTCTAAGGCAGGTAAAGGTAGAGGAAAGATTCCAAAGGGAGTCACAAACCTGATCCATGTCCTGAATCCACCATTAATTCTTACTATGCTTTTGGAGGAGTCACTTGTCTTCTCTTTACTTGTAAAATAAAGAATAAAATGACCTCTCCCCCATCATTCACAGAATTGTGTCTGTGAGAAGCAAAGGAAGGAAGCTCTATAAAACACCTTGCTGAGGAGTTATCACTTTAAAGTCAGTTAATAGAATTTTTCATGTTGAGATGTTTTCCCTGCCCATGATCACAAGCTTGAAGCAAATTATCAAGTCCAGGATCAAGAAGGAAGTTCTGTATGTACTAGCAACCATTAACGGTCAGAGGAATAAATGATGGCCAAAGGGGCTCAGCACATGGTCTGATCCCTCTTAAAATGATATCACGCTGAGTCATGTTGGGATTTCAAGGGCTAATTCATGGAATCGGAAGGGAGTTATCTAGACAGGAGTTCTCTACACATGTCCCCCACGAGGGCACCTGTAGCTCTCATCCATCTTCTCAGGGAGAAGCAATTAAACAGCCTGCAGGGACCTAACAGGATATGATCTGGGTGCACATATCACTTGTTACTTCTTAATTTTTCATTTTAATTTCTAATTTTTTAATTTTTAATTTTCCCCACTTTCTAATTAAAGTGAAATTTACAAACAATAACATCCTTAGTTTCTATTGTATCAATCTAAGAGTTTGGTCACATTTACAAGGTCATGTAACCACTAGCATGATCGTGATATAGAAGAGTTCTATCATCTAAACCAAACCCTCAAGCTTCTTTGTGGTCAACCCCTTCTCCCACCTGCTACCCCTGGCAACCAGTACACTGCTTTTGTCCATGTAATTTTGTCTTTGCAAGAATGTCCTATAAATTGAATCCCAGTGTGTGTAGATTTGTGTCTAGATTCCTTCCCTTAGCATGGTGTTTCTAAGATTCATCCATATTGTTACCTGTATTAATTTCCCAGGACTGGAGGGTATTATGCTGAGTGAAATAAGTCAATCGGAGAAGGACAAACATTATATGGTCTCATTCATTTGGGGAATATAAATAATAGTGAAAGGGAATAGAAGGGAAGGGAGAAGAAATGGGTAGGAAATATCAGAAGGGGAGACAGAACATAAAGACTCCTAACTCTGGGAAACAAACTAGGGGTGGTGGAAGGGGAGGAGGGCGGGGGGTGGGGGTGAATGGGTGACAGGCACTGAGGGGGGGCACTTGACGGGACTGGGTGTTATTCTGTATGTTGGCAAATTGAACACCAATAAAAATAAATTTATTATTGAAAAAAATTTCCCAGGACTGCCACAAAAAAGTAACACAAAATGGGTTACTGAATAACACTGGGTGTTATTCTGTATGTTGGCAAATTGAACACCAATGAAAATAAAAAAATTTATTATTAAAAAAAATTTCCCAGGACTGCCACAAAAAAGTAACACAAAATGGGTGGCTTCAATGGCAGAAATTTATTGTTTCACATTTTTGGTCCTAGGAGTCTGCAGTCAATGTGTTGATTGGTTGGTTCTGCTGGTGGCTAGTGAATTCTGTAAGGAAGACTTTGTTTCACATCTGTCTCTGAGCATCTGGGTGATGTGCTGGCATCCTTTGGCATTCAGGGTTCTGTTACACCACCCCGACCTTTATCTTCATTTTCGCATGGTGTTCCCCCCTGATGCCTGTGTCTGTCCAAATTTCCCTTTTTAAAGGAACGTGAGTTCTATTAGATTTGGGACCCATCCTACCCCAGTATGACCCCATTGTAAGGAATTAAACCTCCAACAATCCTGTTGCCAAATAAGATCACATTCTGAAGTACTGATGTTACAACTTCAACAAATGAGACACTGAACTGGATTTTGGACTTCTCATAAGAGCATTTTGTTACTTTTATCTTTAAATCTGTCCTTCTTTATGAAAACGTGGATTTGGACTTTCTGATCCTCCATCCTGATTATCTTACTCTCTGGTCCTTTGTTTACATGCTCAGTGGCTTGGCAGGACTAATTCTGCAAAGTGTATTTTCCCTGAACTATACAAGCTCTGATGTCCCGGATCTATTTTTTTTTCTTATTTATCTTTTACCCTGCATTCCTATGGGTTGCTCTTGGATCCTCATGCACCATTTACACATCAAAAATTATCCTTAAAGCCTCTTAATCA